GTTGGGGAACGTGGACTCTGCCCTCAGGGACCCGGTTTCCTCTGCGGGGCCACCCTTTCTACTTCTCTCGCCAGTTCCCTGACTTCTCTCTCTGGGCCTCTCTGAACCTCAGTTTGATCATCTGGAAAGTAGGGGTGCTCCTCATACTGGCCTCACTGATACTAACAGGCTCTGCGATCCCGCTTCTCTCCTGTATCTTTAGGGCAAAGAGAGCCTATGTAAAAGTGACTCAGGTCTCCTTCCTCCACTGCTCAACACCCTCCCAAGCCTCTCATTTCACTCAGGGTAAAGCTCAAGTCCTCCCTGTGGGACTCCCACAAGACACTACATGATTTGTCTCCCTCAACTCTTTCACCCTATCTCCTAGGACTCTTCCCCTTGCTCCCTTTACTCCAGCCACACAGACCTCCAAAGGGTCCCTCAGACATTCCACTCATCCTCAGACCACCGGGCCTTTGCACTGGATGTTCCTGCTGTGGGGATTGTTTCTCCACAGATTCACACGGCTCACCTCTCACTTCCTTCCGGTCTTTCTCAAATGTCATCTTGTCAGGGAGACCTTCTCTGGCCATCCATCTAAATAGTGACACCCCCATCACTTTCCTGCTTTCTTTTTCTCCACACTATTTATCACCACTTGACAGATTGTACATTTTACTGTCTATTTTAGTAAACAGTACACACTCGTGTTTATTTCAGCCTTCTCCCACTGTGATAACTTTACCAGAGCAGGGACTCTGTTTTGTTCATGCACCTGGGAGAGTGCCAGGTCCACAGTAGGCACTCATTTTGAGCAATTATCGGAATCCTTGGTGTGCAGCAGGCACCCTCTTACACACTTTGCATGCTTGCTCAGTGAGGCAGGTACTACTCCAGGTCTTGAGGGTGGGACATGGTGCGTTTGAAGAATGGCAGAGGATGGTGTGAGGAAGATGAATTCAGAAAGGTGGGATGGAGGGTTGGCCATTGCAAGGTTGGGAGTTCATCTTCTCAACAACAGCAAAAAAAAAAAAATTGTTTTTAGTGCCCCCCTCATTGGTCCCGAGCATAGTTCTATACACTACAACATGACCCTCTCACAGATTCCAGCAGACCAGGAGGCTAACCATAAAGAGGTCTTAAATAATTTGAGATTGGTAAGAAAATCAAACAATGTGAAGTGGGGTTGGGGAGAGGCACCTTGACACGTTGAGCCAGGAAGGGCAGGGAAGACCTGAGAAGGGGACACTTGGATTGCTGAAACTATGGAGAAAGTGTCCTTTGGGCAGTTAAGAGCAAGTACAAAGGCCTTGGGGTTAACTGGAGTCACATGAGGAAGAAGAGAACTGAGATTACGCTGGGGAAGTTAGGAGCAAGATTGCCAGGCCTCGCAGGCCTTGGTGAAGTTGGGGTTTTTATTCGGAGTGTGAGAAGTCACCAGATGTTTTAAGTGGGAGGAAGACATGATCGAATGGGCATCCACACTGAAATATGGACCTCATGTGCCTTAAGATCTCCTTGACCACCTCCTCCTCTCTCTCCAGATTGGCACCCACCTGTTAGTTACCTAGCCGATTTTA